CGAGCGTAGGACTTCACGCTCGGGCGTACACTCTGAGTTCATGCAGTCCGCTCGAGCGTGAAATGTGTGTATCCAGTAATTTTCATGTGTTTATAGTCCGCTCGAGCGAAAGAGTTCACGCTCGAGCGAGGACTTGTGTCTCACGCTCGAGCGGAAATCGAGCGTCCGTCGAGTGTGAATTGCATGCATCTAGTACTTTCACTTGAATTTACAGTCCGCTCGAGCAAAGGAAGTCATGCTTGAGCGGAGCTCCTTTGTCTGTATGTCCGCTCGAGCGTAGAAAGCTACGCTCGAGCGAGACCTCTGTTTTCTGAAAATTTTGAAAAGTGTTTTAAAGTACATCTTTGCATCCTCTGTCCATCCTAAGCATTCCCAGGGCATGTTTAAGGCATCTTAATGAGGACATTGATGTAGAACCACACCGAGTCAAGATAGGGACTAAGTTATTGTTTCCCAAACGTGCAACTTAGTGTGTTCATCCTGTAACTGTGTAGGGTTGGCATCCGAGGACGCTCACTAGCCTATTTGTAGCCCAGAACTCTGTGAGTAATAATGTTCTAAAGATATGTTCAATCATGAATATTTTCTGAATGACCAACTGTACTGCTTTCTGAAATGATATTTCTTACTGAATGAATGTTTGTCCTATTTGCGAACTATATTCGTGGCATCCTTAGCAATTACTGTTGCTGTACTGTTACTCCTACTGTTACAGAGATCTCTGTCAGTTCCCATGTTTGGAACCACTACTGTTTACTGATATGATGGCCATCAACTGACTGTTCGGTCTGTTATGACCTACTGTACTGTTTACTATTGGATGTACCACTTATGACTGCTATGATCGAATAACTGATATACTGTTCAAATGACTGTTTTAAATATTGAAAGGACATTCATTCCTAACCTCTTTACGCATATGTTATTCACTGGGCTTTAGCTCACTGTTTATATATATATATGTAGGTGTCCAGGCACCGGATCGGAGCTAGGGAGGTTGGGTTAAACTCCTTTTTTGTCAAGCTAACCAACGTGCCTCACTGCGAGGTTCCAAGTGCTACCAAGCTAAGGCTGCTTTGTGGGGTTTTAGATTCCCCTTTCTGTTTCTGTTTTGTATAGACTGTATAGACTTGCACTGTACTGTTATGGTAGGGATTTGGTCCCTAACCCGAATGCCTGTATATGATGTATATACATACTGTTTTGGTTCTGAATGTGAATATGTTCGCAAAGTCTTTTTGCATACAGACTGTCACCGCTCATTGGATATCTTTTATTACTGTTTTGGCTTCCGCCAGCCCCTGTACTTTGTATTACTGTCCTTACTGTTAAGCAGGCCTTCGGTAATCACGGATTACTGGCCGGTTACGGTGCTAAACCCATAGGGGCGGGGTTGGGTCGTGACATAATGTTTATGTCATCAAGGTGCCTAACCACACAACAATGTGCTAGCGAAGGTCCTCAACTTAGCTGACAAGCCAACATTGCATGTTGGGTCTTTGATAGCTTCTCGAAGTGTAGTAGGGTCAAGCATGCCTCAATAGATACATATTGGATGGCCACTTGGTCATGCGAAGCCCACAAGCCACCGAGGGTCAATCTCTCGCCCACGGCGTAATCCTCGTGCCAACACGTGTGTTAGATTCCGCCTAAGGCCATTACGCACATTAGCGTTGCACCAACGTGTAGCATGAGTAAGGCAATGTCTCAATCCGTAGCTTGCTTGTAGCATAATGTAGTCCATTAATGGACTTAGTCAATACGTAGTTTCATGCCTTCATTCGATAGCCCACATATGCGATGTTGCCTTCCAACCGCTTAGCTTAAGCCACGGGATCCCTTCGTGCAAGGTTGAACCCAAACCAAGTACTTCAGTTGGCACACGAGGCCTTTAGTGGTGCCTTGATAGCCCATTCGGTCCAAAATGAGTCCCAAAGATGCCATATTGCATGGCATAATGGAAGCAACGTAGTGGACCTCTCCCTCGGGAGTACACGCGCAGTGCTTACATATTGCACCGTCCACGGGGCTCCCAAACCCACATGGAGACTCTAGACACCCTTCTGGATGCCTAAAGCCCGCCCTTGAGTTGTCCCAAGGTTGCTCACTTGAAGCCCAGTTTGGGCGGGGAGGTAGGTAGGTAGCACACCTTGCCCCCTTATATATGCTTGTTAAGCAATTTGCCCTATGGCAAGAGGAAACATCATATATGTCCGAGGAGTCATAATGATTTTTCATAAATTCCACAAATTGAGAAAAATCACGAAACTTGGTCGGGAAAACACTTCTCCTAAGACCTCTTTCCAGTAAAAATTTCAACTCGAAACTCCATCGTTTGAATGCCGAAACAACGCGCCAAAATTCTGCACTACAAGCTGCTGCTGTTGGCTGCTGGCAACGCTGGTTGCTGCTGCTGGCAGCTCTGTTTGGCTGCTAGCATGGGCTGCGGCCTTGCCGTTTGCTGGCTATATTGTGGCCTACATGACTTGGCTACTTGGGGCCAATGTTAAGCCACTTTGAGACACTTCCAACGGCCACTCTTGAGCACTCAAATGGCCACACCACCGCAACCGAAACGTCACGGAGTTAGCCTTGCTAGGCAACCCGTGACACCTTACTTGCCAACAAACCCTTCGTCCACTACTGTCTCACTTGTATTTCTAGAAGCATAAGAAGTAATTACATGTCACCCGACTTGACTATATAAATATATGCAAATTTTAAAAAAATGCACGACATAATAGGTGAAAATACTAATTATCCCTTTTTGTTTAAATTGATTTTTTAAAAATTGAATTTTTTTATTTTTTCATATATATATATATATATATATATATATGTTTTTAATGAATTTTAAAAAAATTTAAAGCAATTTCACATTATCTAAATACATTTAAGAAATATAATGTTTATGAAATTTATTTTAAAAATTCAGTAAAAATACAAAAAGTACAAAAACTTAGTATATTTTCATGTTTTGGTGTATTTATTGATTTTTTAATATATTTTTCATAAATATTACTTTTTAAGTGCATCTAATTAGATAGATCTTTAAAAAATTGCTTAAAATATTAAAAAAAATTCACTAAACAAAAAATAATAATTTACAGAAAATCAATCAAAATCAAACAAGATTAAAAATAAATAAATAAATTATGAGTATATACTTATTGGAAATGGGGTGCTTGTTGTGTCTCGGCACAGCAGTCATTGTTGTACGCCCATATGAGCTCATTTCGGGACCCGTTTGATAATGCAAACCGTTTACTTTTTAGAATATATCGAATATAATATATTTATAAAAATTAAAATTGATTTGACATCGTTAACCTTTTCATCGACTCATATTTGTATGTACGAAAATAAATTACAAATGTGATTTGTAGTACGAAACTGAATAAAAATTTGAGTAGATGAAAAGGTTAACGATATGCGATCAATTTAATTTTTTATAGATATATTTTGCTCAATGTACTCTAAAAAGTGAATAGTTTGAATTATCAAAATGAGCTCTGAAATGGGCCCATATGAGCACACAAAGATGAGGCATAACCAAAGATATCATGAGTCCTAACTAAAGAAAAAAATTTATCATAACTAAAGAAAAAATGACATAACTAATGGTGCGTATGTTACACCCCTTTCAAGAGATGTGTATAGTTGAATTTTTCTTTTTTTCACCTTATATTTTAGTCAGAAAATTACTAAAATAGCCTATTTCTAAGCCAGTCTTAAATATAATATAACACTAATTCTTAAAATTATGAGAGATTAATATGTATAAATATATATTATTTTTATTTTATTATTTTATTTTTAAATATATTTTATTCAAATTTATAATATGGCTTATGTGTGTCTAAATATTATCTCTAAAATATATTAGGTGCTAAAAAATTAAAAATACAATGGAGAATGAATGTACCTGTAGATCCCTCTCAACAATTCCACTTTGGCAGAGCACTAAGCGAAATGAATTAAAGAGATATTTATTAAATAAATAAATAAATAAATCAGCAAAATGAATTAAAGAAATCTTTATTAAATAAATAAATAAAAAAAATCAACAAAGTCATGGGCATTTTTACAGAAATGCTAGACTCACACACTACAAAAAAATTGACTTTTTGCGACGGTAAAATACCGTCGCTAATACTCTTAATGCCGTCGCCAATACTTTTTGCGATGGCAAAATGAATTTTTGCGACGGCAAGAGGGGGGTCGCAACTGCAGCAGTTGCAAAAGAGTTTTTGCGACGGTAAGTGCCGTCGCTAATGTTTTGCGACGGCATTTTTTGCCTTTTTGCGACGGCACCGTGCAGTCGCTAATAACGTTTGAAATTTCTTGACTTTTTTGTGACGGCCCTATTTTACCGTCGCTAAAAATGTTATTTGAGACGGTAAAAAATACCGTCGCCAATAGTCTTTTTTTTTTAAAAAAAAAACACTACTTTTTGCGACAGTGTGGTGCCGTCGCAGAAAATATAAAAAATATGAAATTTTCTATTTTTTGCGACAGTGTAATGCCGTC